TCCTCTCTCCTTGTCCCACCTACTTCCTGCCTGGCCTCTGGCCAATCAGTGTTTTATTTATTGACCAATCAGAGCAATTTGACATACAGACCATCCCACAGCATAACACAGCTTCACAGAGTAAAATAAATGTAGCTGGAGTTTTCCTGCCTTGCCCACAGTCTGGACAAATCTTTGTCACCCGCCAGTCCCACAGCCAGAAAAGACCCAACCAAGTAAACACAGAGACTTATATTGCTTACAAACTGTATGGCCGTGGCAAGCTTCTTGCTAACTGTTCTTACAGCTTATATTAATCCATTTCCATAAATCTATACCTTGCCATGTGGCTCGTGGCTTACCGGCATCTTCACATGCTGCTTGTCATGGTGGCGGCTGGCAGTGACTCCTTCTGCCTTCCTGTTCTTTCTTTTCTCCTCTCTGTTAGTCCCGCCTATACTTCCTGCCTAGCCACTGGCCAATCAGTGTTTTATTTATTGACCAATCAGGGCAGCATCCCACAGCAAATAAATGCTGTGGTGATATTTTATTTTTGCTGAAATGTGTTTATATTTTATTTGTGCTTTAATAATTAAAGCTTGCCTGGAGATCAGTAGGAAAAGGCCAGCCATATTAAGTAAACAATGAAGTCAGGTAGTACACGCCCTTAATTCCTTAGCAGGCAGGAACTCTGTGTGTTCAAGAACACAATAGCAAAAAGAGTCAAGCGTGGTGACACACCACTTTAATCCCAGTACCAACCACAGAGACCTGGAGGTCTGTACAGATAGACAGACAGTGACAGAGCTGTGTAGGAAGAGGAAGTGAGGTAGCTGGGCTAAGAGCCAATGAGAGGGCAGAAAAGCAAGGCATATAAGCCTGGGTAAACAGGAAATCACTCTCCTTGGAAGCTGCGGAGTTGGTGAGGTGAGGTTAGCTGGTGGCTTTCTGTATTTCCCTGATCTCTTTAAGGCTTTAACACAAATTTCTGGCTCCATGTTTTTTATTTAATAAGACCATTTAGAAATTCATCTATAGAATAGGAACATTTCAATCTATGCACCCAGAGGTAACAGATGGTGCTTTATACCTAAGCATCTGAAGACTTTCCCATGGTCATTTTCTGTTGTGAGATGTCTTTCTGTATGCTGTGAATATGTGTTACTCTGATTGGTTCATAAATAAAGCTGTTTGGCCAATGATGAAGCAGAATAAGGTTAGGTGGTACATTTCAACTGGAGAGAGAGGAAGAGGAAAAGGGAGGTAGAGGAAAAGCTGGGAGCCACCGCCAGGAGAAGCAAGATGTAAAAGTACTGGTAAGTCACAAAGTCACATGGCAATGCATATATTAATAGAAATGGGTTAATTTAAGTTATAAGAGCTAGCTAGCAAAGATTCTGCCACAGGCCATGCAATTGGTCATTAATATTAAGCCTCTGAATGATTATTTTATAAGCATCTGTGGGACTTTGGCGACAGGTGAGACTGGAGAAACCTTCCAGCTACAAATTTCTTATGTGGTCCAATCTGAAGGGACAGAGCCAGGCTCTAGAGTGTAGTGGCTAGAACAGGAAGGGTAGAGGAGAGAAGGATTGACAATGCTTTCCTCTCCAACTACAGGCTTCCTAACCAGAAACAGGACTGACTTGTAAAGATGGTTTCACCCTGGTTAAATTTTAATGTGAGCAGTGCTGGGGATGTCTTTCTGCATGCTGTGAATGTGTTGCTCTGACTGATTGATTGATAAATAAAATGCTGATTGGCCAGTAGCCAGGCAGGAAGTATAGTATAGGCAGGATAAACAGAGAGGAGAATGCTGGGAAGTGGAAGGCTGAGTCAGGAGATGCTGCCAGTCACTGCCACCATGAGAAGTAAGATGTAAAGTACCAGTAAGCCACAAGCCACGTGGAAACTTATAGATTAATAGAAATGGGTTAATTTAAGATATGAAAACTAGATAGCAAGAAGCCTGTCATGGCCATACAGTTTATAAGTAATATAAGTCTCTGTATGTTTACTTGGGTCTGAGTGGCTGCAGGCCCCAGCGGGACTGGAGAAATCTCCAGCTACAGTTAGCATCACTGAAGAAAGCCTGGTGTTATGATAAATGCATGTAAGAAATGTTATAGAACCTTCAATACAAGATAGAAAATCCTAAGCCCAGAGAATGCATTTATAGAGCACTGGAAGAAAGATGATCCAGCATTACACTGGGTCTAGCCTGCTCTCTTCATCTGGCCATTTCTCCTATGCTCAGATCAATCAATACAGTAGCCAGGTATTCACCTATAAATTCAAACACTTGTAATTACAACACACATTCAGCAAATATCTATAGAGTGCTATATTAGTTAGTTGTCTTTTGCTGTGATTAAAAAAATACTCTGCAAAACAAGTGTTCTGTAAATGAGGGGGTCTTCTAACATCTTGGGATGGAGCCTGGCATCCTAAGACCACAGCTGTTGTTGCTTCTGTATGCTTTAGTGGCTAAATATGCTAAATCACTTTCCTAGGCAGGTGTTTTGGATCAAAGATCCTCTTCTACAAGAGTCTCAGTTCAGACTTTACTCTCCTGACAGATGCTGTATAGTATCAGCCTTTGTGGGGTGGAGGAATGCTAGAATACAAACAGATGGTAGACTGATGATGATGATATATGTTAGATAGATGATAGATAGATAGATAGATAGATAGATAGATAGATAGATAGATAGATAGATAGATAGATAGGCAGATATATGATGTAACTTCTGCTTAAACCTAAGCAATATAAGAATCATGAAAAGTGTCAGCAGGGGTCAAATTAAGTCCCTTAGAGTAGTCTGGTAAGCCTCTCAATGAGAGACAGTGTTTGGACAGATCGTTGAATGAAGCAGAAAGGCAAGCATGAGAAGATCTGGAGGGAAATTACTCTGACAAAGCAACTCCAAAGGCCAGGGTAGGGAACAAAAGCAAGCACTAGAGACAGAAAAGTAGATATGAACAGGCTGGGGAAGGAAACATTCGGATCAATGGGAAGAGAATTGACTGGCAAGAGGAGAAAGGGAAACAGGAAGCCTTGGTGTGTACTCTGGACATGTAGTAGAGTTAAGAACTGCCCATAGTAAACGTGTGTTTTCAAGTGAAGCTGACAGGAATTACAGATGGAATGGATGTGGATGTAAAGAAAAAGCACAAAAGAATCAGATTATGGGAATCTCCATCTTCAGGGGAACAAACCATTGATTACAGCTTTAGGATACAACTTGGAACAGGCTCTAACACCCAGAAGAGTAAGGTTCTGCTTTAGACCACCAGGCTGCCCATACACATGTGCTCACGCTCTTCCACGCTCCCCTAGCTCATTTGAGCAGCCTTGGCATCTTTGCTCAAGCCTGAGCAAGGCACCAGGAGGGCTCAATCCCATTGGGCTTTCTTTGCTCCAGTCCTCTTGCAAGAGTGACTGCTAGGGAGCATTTTATCCCTGCTGCTTTATTTC